TGTAAGTGGCCTGGTGATTACTGGGTTCCTACTTTATCATTTTGGTCCTGGTAGTCTGTTAGCATCGAGAGTAAAAACCAACAGTTCCTCTCAATCGGGCACCACCGCCTACAGCTCATCTCCAACCGACGCGAGGACCGGCACTGCGACCCCAGGCAACACGGCCACCAGCTCTTCGTTACTCACGACGCGGTCCCCATCCATGACGCAACTACCGTCCTCGGCGATCCACCCGTACGAGGCAGAGGCCTTGAAGTACCAGCGGGCACTGGCGTACGAGTGTTCAGGCGTGTCCGGGTCCGACATCGTAAACCAGTGCCACCCGAATCCGGAAAAGCGACCCGAGCCAAGCATCGATGATATCACGACGCTACTTTCTGGATATGAGCTGGCGACGCTGCGAGTACCTTCCGGCACTTGCAACGATGCGTTTCACCGGATGAAGCCCCAATCGATGGTGAAAGCAGCGCCGGGCGGTTGGAAGACGTTAGACTGGTCCCAGGTAAACGGCGGAAAGGTAATTTGCGCTGACGAGAATGGTCAAGACATGACATGTCATTACTTCGGCGATCCGTTCAAGTACGATTTGCCTACTGTCTGGGATGCGGTCAACTACTACCTGGAGCCCTACCAGTGCCTGTTTACCGACAACGGGAATATAGGTGACCGTCTCGAATACAGGGGGGGGCGAGCAAGGGGTATCGGGAAGTGGGTAGGAAAAGACTTATACGGATGCTCCGATAGTGACGCTTTGCTGGTTGGGTTCTTAGTACAACGCCAGTCAAACGGACGTGGTTGTGACAGTGACGGTCCGACATGTCGGACAAACGTATCGGAACATTGTCAATGCCAGGACATAGAGCTGAGTGCTGAGGCCGCCACTCCATCCGGTACGATCATTAAGTGGGGGAAGGTTAGGGACTATTTCACCAACCAGACTGATTTGGTTAAGTACTATACGTTATTCCAAAGGAAAGAATACAAATTGACAAACTGCCACGTGAAGTGCTTGAAAGACGGTAATCCCGAAGAACACCGTCGAGATACTATTGAGTGGTTCGACAGGAACCCCGGGCCACACTTTTAATGCATCCTTTTTATGTATCGTTCACCCGTATGCACCCCTGTGTTCTAACCCGTAACTCTTCTTTTATCTTGCACGGGTGGCGGGAGTGGATCGCTGCAACCCCGCTGACGAGACAACTGCGTGCTGAGTGAAGTAAGAATTAGAAGGAGACACTAGCAGCCTCAACGCAGTCGCAGCCTCAACGCAGTCGCAGCCTCAACGAACTCGCTGTCGCATTTGTTTACATTTGCTCGGGAGTTTTTGGCAGGAGTGGGACTCGAACCTCTGAAGTCTAGGTCGTCGCAGATGTTGTGCTCACCCCACTGCGTAGCCACGGCGCAGCTGCACTATACCGACACGTCTCTCATCTCCAGATGCTCGTCGACGGGTATTTGGAAGGACGGGTCTGCTCCTGGGGCGGGAGCGCAGTGAGGATCTCGGACAGGGCAGACGTTGCGACTTCGGACGCCGTAAAGTTCGGGCAATCGACGGAGCGTGCAGCACCGGACAGTAAGTGGTGGGTTCCGGTCCTAAAGCACAGAGGCGGTAGAATGGCTGACCATACAAGCTAGGGATCAGTCCAAGTCCTCAGGGCCGTGCCGCATTCACCCACAACTGCCCCAGAGCAAACTTCTTGTCCAAAAGCTCCAGGCAGACGTACTCACCTTCATCTCAACATCGGCGCCTTTGAATTCGCGTCCAATCATCAGCCATCTTTGACTACTGCTGAATAATCCCCTACTGGTGAGTTGGAACATGGTTAGGGGCCATCTGGGTGTGTCTGGAGGTAATCATAAGAATGGGGTTGTAAATAACTCTTATGACCATTCCTGCGACTTGGACCGGGGGGCTACAGCTTCCGAGTACGCAGCCACCGAACCAGCCCAGGTGAAGGTCGAACGTGAGACGTCAACAACTCGTCGCAAAATAACTCCTGGAGTGATTTTTCCAGGCTGCGTGCCCCAGAGCTGCGCAGCCTCGTCTTCTCGAAAAAGCCTGCCTGACCACTACCAGCCGTGGTCGGAACACACATAGTGGAGAAACCTACAGCCAGGGACTGACGGACAAGTGGAGGAACTATGCGTGGCAAGAATGAGGAAGCGCATCATTGCCATCGTAGCCGGAGGATGCTCCAGCGAACTCGAAGTTTCCCTGCGTAGTGGACAAGGAATTTCTTCTTTTATGGACAAAGAGCGTTACGACCTGTACATCGTAGAGGTGGAAGGCCGACGCTGGGAAGTGATCCTGCCGGATGGCACGAAGAGTGCGATCGACCGGAACGACTTCAGTTTCACAGAAAGCGGCGAGAAACGGACTTTCGAGTTTGCCTATATCACCGTCCATGGCAGGCCGGGAGAGAACGGTATGCTGCAAGGATATTTTGACCTCATCGGGATGCCTTATTCAAGTTGCAGCGTGCTGGTTTCGGCCATGACGTTCAGCAAGTTCACGTGTAACCAGTACCTGAAAGGGTTTGGTGTTCGCGTGTCCGAGTCCCTCATCCTGCGCAGCGGTTTCGAGATTTCCGACGAGGAGGTCATTAACAAAATCGGACTGCCCTGCTTCGTGAAGCCCAACGCTGGAGGTTCCAGCTTCGGAGTGAGCAAGGTGAAGACGCGGGAGGACATACAACAGGCCATCAGGAAGGCTTTCAAGGAAGATAATGAGGTCATGATAGAGGCTTCCATGGAAGGAACCGAGATCACCTGCGGGTGCTACAAAACCCGCGATAAGGAAACGGTCTTCCCCATCACCGAAGTAGTGAGCACCAACGAATTCTATGACTACAACGCCAAGTACAGAAAACAATCCCAGAACTTCACTCCTGCCCGCATACCCGAAGAAACGGCAACAAAGGTGAGACAGCTGACCTCAAGCATTTATGACATTCTGGGCTGCTCGGGACTGGTACGCATCGATTACATCATAACTAAAGGCGATAATATAAACCTGCTGGAAATCAACACCACTCCGGGCATGACAGATACCAGCTTCATCCCCCAGCAAGTGCGTGCCGCAGGGCTGGACATCAAGGACGTAATGACGGACATTATAGAAAATAAGTTTAGTTAATCACCGTATCTCTGCCGACCGCACAGCGCACTGAAAATGGTGGCGAAGAAGATGCCGAAGTCAGTCATAAAACTATCCCTCCGTCAATCATAAAACTATCCCTCCGTCAATCATGGGACTATCCCTCCGTCAATCATAAAACTATCCCTCCGTCAATCATGGGACTATCCCTCCATCAATCATGGGACTATTCCTCCGTCAATCATAAAACTATCCCTCCGTCAATCATAAAACTATCCCTCCCTTCCTTCCTCCCTCCCTCCCTTCCTTCCTCCCTCCCTCCCTCTGTTAATTCCCCACAAGAGTTTATGCTGCAGTAATTTCCGGCGTTCACAATAATTTCTGGGCAAAATCGACCAGTGGTATCGACCGGGTGTACTGGACCGGTGGACCAGGGGATTGTGTAAGACTTGGTATGCTTCAGGACTGCATGAGTCCGGACTGCACGCGCAAGGACTGCATGACCAAGGACTCGATGGCCGAGTCGAGTCTGAGGACGCAGTTTGGGAATAGGGCGGGCGCAGAAGGAGAAAAACGGTGGTGTATTTCCGACTAGACGTGTACCATAAGCAGATAGAGACGGGGTCAAGACTTTCCAGCCGCGCCGATCGCACCTGCCGTTCACTCGGGTCGCTGCTCCAACCCACGTCCGTGGCCGGGTCGCATCTGCCGGTCGAGGGACTCAACCAGCACCACCACCCCCGCGACTCGAACCGGGGGGCTGCAGCTTCCGAGTGCACCATCACCACAAACTCATATTTTCCAAAATCCCTCTAATCATCCCATTCACTACAACAACTTCGCTCTAGACACAGTTACGATTGTTCCGCGGTCGTTTCCACGGTCGCTTGCGGGACGGTATTCAAAAAGTGTTTCTTCGCCAAGTAGCCTCGAGAACGACCAACCTTGCTCATCGGAAAAGGCCGGGTTCCAGCGACGGGACCGAAAATGGCCCACGGGAAGACAGGTGCCGGCAACGGACCGGAAGCTATACCGACGATCCCCAGCGGTAGCCCCAAATGCGCCGGGATCTCCCATGAAATGCCGGGCGTCTGAACCAGCTCGGAAACCAGGGAGTAGGGCGGCGGGACCTGTCCAGGGGTAGGGATTTGCTCAGGGACGGGGAGCATGAACACCTGTCCAGGGTATGGTCCGTGGATGTCCCACGGACCCATGGGGGGCATCGGTACCTGTCCAGTGTACGGATCGTGGATGTCCCAAGGACCGGTGGGAAGCATCTGCAACATCTCCGGTGGTACTCCGTACGGTCCGGGGATGTCCCAAGGACCGTACCATAGAACGGGGGCCATCTGGACTGGTGGTTCAGCAAAAGAAACGCATGGACTTTGGAACCTTGAGGAGGGGTCTTGCTCTGCAACCGAGTCGGACATGTTCCGGAACATCTCCGTGCCTGGATAGGACTCGGGAATAGGTTGGAACGGCCACGGCAGGGCACCCCCGTGCACGGAGCCAGGGAGGTGATGCGGCAGGGCGCCAGGGAGCATGGCAGGGCGCCAGGGAGCATGGCGCCAGGGAGCATGGCGCCAGGGAGCTGGTAGGGCTGGGCGTCCGGTAGCAAATTGACGGGCGAGGCGAGATCGAGTTCTTCCGTCGGCCAGGGCCGGTCGGAGGGCGTGGTAGTACCCCAGCCGTCTTGATAGAGTGTGTTTTTGTCGAACGCGTGGTGGTTGTCGATCGTGTGGTGGATGAGATGAGGCGGTCGGTGGATGAGATGAGAGGCTTGATGATGGTTGAGCGCGGCGAGACGCATGGCGTCCCGATGAATTGGCAAGCCTCGGGCAAACTGGTGGCGTTGTAAAGCAATGAGTACATCTCCTGGCCCGAGAGTGGAATCAAAATGGCCCCCGAGAGTTATGTCTTTGACAACGAGTGCGTGTGCTGAAGTGCGGAATAGAGAGATGGAATCGTGGTACCAAGCGACGCGACGACGGGAGAGTTGGCCGCAATGACGGTGGCCAAGGCGGACAAGTGACTTCCAGAATACTGAGGGTCTTCGACAATGCTTGCTCCAGTACGCACGCAGTACGCCTTCGAGAGCGGCATCGTGCGCGAAGACATTGCGCTCTCGACAGAGCGCCAACGTGCACTGGAAGTCACGCCAGTCGCCCGCCGCCGAGTCGCCCGCCGCCGAGTCACTCACGGACGAGTCACTCACTAACGGCTTGTCCTCCTGCTCCTCGACGGTGCCAGACCGAACTTCCTCTTCCTTCAGGTCCGCCTCTGCCTGCGCTTGACGACCTATCCATACCGAACTTGTGATACCTGCCGCCATTTCCGCGTCCGTGATCAGACACGGCCGACCGTGAGTTCGCAATGCGCCCGCCGTCGTGGACACCACTGGCAACAACCATTGAGACCCGCTCCGCAAACGCCGCACGGAATTCAAAGGTACCAATTCAAGCAACGCACCGTCCGGCAACCCGTTGAAATCATACTGACATAATACCTTCTGGACATACGACAACCATTCCTCCACCAACTTCAACTTCCACTCATTACTGCTCCGGCAAGTGCGCATTTTCGTCCCACCCAAAATTAGTCGCACACACGTTACTCCAAGACCGGAACTGAGGTGTGCGTGCGTGCGTGCGTGGTCACCTTCGTTGATTGGGGCAACTCCACATGGCTGGCTTCGGCGTGCAGCATACCTGTTTGGTTCAGTCAGTGAGTGCAGTCTGTGCTATTCTATCCATAGTGACCGCAGAGATTTCATTTTACTGTCAAAAAGTTCATACCCACCCAAATCACAGCACTTGCCTTGCTCTCATGCGGTCCGGGCTCTCTTGGCAACTGGTTCGGAGGTTATCTCCGCGGAAACTGTCTCCAGTGTTGTTTGATTGGCAGCCTCTTTAGTCTGTTCCGGGGCGGTCCACTGGTACCGCGTCGACCGATTAGAGGATGCAGCGGCCGTCCACCGGTGTCGGGATCCTCCCTGCCCAGCTGACCAGGACCTCCGCGCCGTCGGTCCAGAGGCGAGCCACGACCCCGGAACTGCTCGAGAGCCTGAGGGGACCCAAGACCTCGGTGCCCTCGTCTTCTGGGCCCATGTGCTTTGGGTCCACGTGCTTTGGCCCCACGGCTTATGCGCCCACGCCCCCCTGGTCGGTCCGGGTGCGGGTGCGGGAGATAGAGTCCCGAGAGGTTGGGGTTGAAGTGCGAGAAGGACTTCGCCAGGGGCGAAGATTTTGGTGAATTCGCCAGAGCGCGCAGCGTCAGCAAGTGCTAGTGAGGGGCCGGCGCTGTGGAAACGGCCAACAGCCTTCCGGTACCATCGGACGCGTTCGCGCGAGGTTGGATTCGAACGGGCGCTGTCCAGGTGTCGTAACGCGCGCCAGAAATGCCCCGGCCGCTGGCAATACTTGCCCCAGTAGGCGCGCAGCCGTGCCTCGTACATCTCCTGGCCCGCAAGGAACACGTTGTTGTCACGACATAGTCGCAACATACGCTGAAAGTCCACCATACTGTCCAGTCGCCGGTCCCCCCAATTATGCTCCAGGTCGCTAGACGCTTCCATCCATACCGAACTAGTCTGGCCTGTGCAAAGTTCCGCAGGCATGATGTCGCAAGCCATCCCCAAAGCCCGCAATTCGCCCGCTGTCGTGGGCTCTACCGGCAACCTCCACTCCATCCCGTTCTTCAAACGCCGCACGGAATTTAATGGAACCAACTCCAACAATGTGCTGTCCGGTAACTGTCCGAAACCCACCTGACATAATACCTTCTGCACGAACGACAGTAATCCCTCCGGCACCGTTAAGTCGTCAAGGCCTTGACTCACACAAGTACGCATTTTATTTATGTCCCGAGAGGGATAAATAATTCCCCCGTTCCCCAAAGGCCACGAGACCAGAACCTCGCGTAAAGAAGGTACCGCCGAGGATTGTCCGGAAATGGGAGAATCGCTAGTGCTGGTTCTCGTCTGAGTTAGTTCCAGTTCGAACGTCTTTTGGGACATAAAAGACGTTGGGCATATTTGGGACAACGCGCGCGTGTTTGCAGCGCATCACTAGGGAGAGACGTTTTTAAGGGTTGAAATCAGGACTCCAGAAAATGCTACCAACCCAAAGAGATCTCCCTCCTTCCTACGAGGCCTCTCCCAGTGGCGGACCGGAGGCGCCAAGGTGGTTCGCGCCCAAGTGGTCACTCTCCATGAAGGTGGTCAACACAACCCGCACGCAAGTAGAGGTGGAGAGGTACGGCCAGCCAGGCTCAACGCCCAGGTTCGATTCCTTATGCAGTCACCTCATACCAAATTCATTTCGTTGCTTGTT